TTATTTATAATTATAGAATCGTATGCAAGAAGCTTTAACACTTTTTGATTCAATTTGTAATTCACGATGGTTCGTAAAAACCTCGATAATCCTATTTTTGAACAAAATCGATCGGTTCCAGGAAAAATTACCAATTTCTCCAATGGGTAATTATTTCCCTGACTACGATGGTGGTGACGATTATGATGCTGCTTGTGATTATATACTTAATAGATTTGTATCGCTGAACCAAAGTGATGCTAAACAGATTTATACACATTTCACTTGTGCCACTGATACTCAACAAATAAAGTTTGTCATGGCCGCTGTTAACGACATTATTATTCAGACTAATTTAAGAGAAGTTGGGTTATTGTAATTACCATCACCAAAAAAAAACAAAAAAAAAAAAATTATGGGTGTCAAAGTACTATTATTATTTTATTCTATAGCAATTATCATACATTATTATTACAAAACTTTGTATTAATATATATATTTTTTTTTTATGAGAAAATTATTTATTCCCTTTTTAATTCCTTTCGTTTTAATGTGTTGATGAAATTTGGTGAAAATGTTTGTTCACATTATTTTCGAAACATTTCTTTAATTCTTTTTTGTCTAAGATTCGATATATGCACATTTGTATTATTATTTATTATTTATTAAAGTGTATTAAAGTGTGAAAAAAAATAATACAAGCCGAAACAAGATTTTTTAATGTGATATTTTAATCATTGATCTTGGCGTCAGTCAAATTGAACTAGCTTTTTCATCCTATAGGTTCCACAGGGTGATCATTAAGAACTGAATTTTTCTTTTGTTTGTTATACGATACTTGTACTATTTGTTTACGTATCTTATAGAAACTTTCCGATTGGTTAATGTTTTAAAAGTAGTAACTTTATTCATTATTCGTTTATTATGTAATGTTATTAATTAATTAATATCTTACTGTCAATTTTAGTATTAATACTTTGACAATTCTCAAAAAATATAGTCTACCCTCGTTTATATCAACCCATTTGAATTGATTTAAATTCATGTTGATAGAGATATTAACAGGGGATTATATTAAAGTTGATATATATGAGAGAATTTTAATATATAAAAATTCACCTTATGATTTAGCAGTTAGGTTGATATTAACGAGAGTAGACTGTATATCGATTTCGATATACATAATTCGTCATGAGAAACTTACCTTACGTACGCACATACGTACTACCAGCTACCTGTACGTACGTACGTAACTACGCACTCAATGTACGTAACAGGTAAGTACATATGTAATGTATCAGCTATACCGCACCAAAAACTTATAAGAACTAATCGAAACAAATAACGGCTAGAACAATTTCTAAAAATAGTTATCAAAATTTACATTTTTTTAATTTATATTTAATATATCTTTCATGTATCTTGCAGATTTTTAAATAAAACGTGATTTTGATATACTTATACCCTGGTCACTATATCAAGATCGCAGGGCATAAATCAGTTATGTCCTGGGCACTATGTGATAAGCGGGACTTTCAGCCCCGCTTATACCCAACTGCCCAGGAAATAACTATTACTTATCGTTATTTTGATTAAGACGTGTTTTTTATAAATCGAAAAAAAAAAAATTTCTATAATTACAGATTTACAGTACAATTAATGTTAATCTAATTAGAAATGTCTTCGAATAACAGATAAAAATAATTCTAAATATATATAACAAAAAAAAAAAAGATATACACCTTATATATTGATATTGACTAATTTACATTTCCGGCCAAATAATAATATGGAACTACTACTACATAACAGATGATGTTTATTATTCATCTTTCTGCATTAGTCGTTTAAAAAAAAACGAATTAAACATTTAAAATAATAGTAATCCCAGGTTAATAAGTCTGTATCTGGTATGCTTTTTTTTTTTTAAAATTTTCTTTTAATTTTTTTTAATCCAGTAAAATCAAGATCAGATCACGATGAACCAAAGTCACGTGACTAAAAGTTACTATTTATATTTGTGTTTACTGTTCTTTTTCTTCATTCTTTTACGCGTCTACAAATTTTTGATCAGTCAAAATGAGCAATTCTCGTAGTAAGAAACGCCGCGTAACGCCCGTAGAAGAAACTAATGCCTCACCTACGCCTTCGAGTTCTTCTTCTCAAACTTCCTCCGTTCCCAATGTTACTACGCGAGCAGCTGCGCGAGCAGCTGCTACGCGAACCACTATTAACAATGACAGTTCAACTTCTAATGATAAAGGGAAAAAGAGAGCCGAAGAAGTTATCAACACTGGTAGTTCAACTTCTAATGATAAAGGAAAAAGGAAAGCCGAAGAAGTTATCAACAATGGTAGTTCAACTTCGAATGATAAAGGAAAAAGGAAAGCCGAAGAAGTTATCAACAATGGTAGTTCAAGTTCTAATGATAAAGGGAAAAGGAAAGCCGAAGAAATTATCAACACCGGTAGTTCAACTTCTAATAATAAAGGGAAAGGAAGAGCCGAAGAAGTTATCAACACGGGTAGTTCACCTTCTAATAATAAAGGGAAAGGAAGAGCCGAAGAAGTTATCAACACTGGTAGTTCAACTTCTAATGATAAAGGGAAAGGGAGAGCCGAAGAAGTTATCAACAATGATAGTTCAACTTCTAATAGCAATGGGAATGAACCTGATAACGGTGAAAGTTCAACTTCTAATAGTAATAAAAGAAAAGCCGAAGGTGATGATGATAGTTCAAGGGCAAAGAAAAGAAAAGAAGATGAAGGTGAAAGTGAAGGTGATAGTCCAAGACCAAAGAAAAAAAAGAAGGATAAAAAGCAAAAAAAGCCCCGTAAAGAAAAGGAAAGACGAAAGGCACGTTGTCGTACCGTCTGTTCTAAAGTATGTATTTTTGGTCATAATTATTCTTAATTAGCTGTTATAATTTCCTCTCTTTACTAATGAGTACACAACTTTTAGAGAACCAAAGATCGTATTAACCGTGCCACTTCACAGCGTATGTACTTGATCGAAAGAAAAGATGTCGATCAGACAAAGAAGCAATTTACAGTTATGGGATCAACTGGCAACGTAAGCTTTGTTAATGACTTCTCAGAATCATATGATAATCGCGTAACTTTTATAATTTATTTTTGCCAAACCAGATCTATACAGTTATTATTACTCATTTGCCTAATTGCACTTGTCCTGATTTTACACATGGTGACTATTAATTCGTTAGTTGTTTTTCTAGTTGTTTCTCATTGACTATCGTTGTTAATTCGTGGTTAATATTTTATTATTATAGGAAATTTGTGCAAACACCTTGTATGCGTTAAAACTAATATCGTTCGTTCTTTGTTTCGATCTAATTGTAACATTAACGTGTTTAATAATATACGATATAGATGTTTGTGTATCTTAAAGTCTTACGCGTTCCCTCAACTAGCAAACTTATTTTTCAAAGAGCACTCTTAAGTAAAGAAATTAGATCGATATTCTCCAAATCGCCTGATCTCGCAACTCTGGTATGAACATCGATATTTTGAAATTTTTTTTGGATTAATTTTAAATTCCAGTAATCATTTATAGACTTCATTTTTTAAATTTTCTTTAGGCAAACTATAGAGTTCGTTCATTTTATAATTCGATTGCTAAAGTAACTGATAACGTAAAACGTCGTCCTATTGATGGAGATTGCCCAATATGGTATTGTTTACATTATTTGTATCTAATTTTTCAAATCGTTATATTAAAATCGTTATATTAAATGTGCTTTTTTTTTTTTAGTTATGAACCTTTGAAACCAGAGGAAGTGGATACGATCGTCTGGTGTCGAGGTGGTTGTGGAAATAATATTCATAAAGACTGTTTTACTCAATGGAAGAATACGAGAAATATTGGAATTGGATACGGAAGAGTACGTCTTAATACGTTTGTTAATTTATCAAATATTTTATCAATGCAATAAATAAAACTAACTTTATATTATATTTCTAGGTTACTTGCGTTTTCTGTCGTAAGGACTGGAAAGAAAATTTATCTGAAAGATTCACGAAAGACGGATTCCTTAATCTTGGATCACTTCAAAATGGCGTAAGCAGGATTACTGGTATGTTAAAAAAATACTTTAAAAATTTTTCTTTACGTAAATACTATATTTCTAATAAATTTCTAATAGATTATTTATATATTTATAGAAGCACTTCGTCTCCTTAGTACCATTAGTTAAGTCCTTAGGCCCGGGACTTTAGGATCTCTGGTCTTTAAACCTGGTCTTTAAAGACAAAGCCCTAATATACAAATTTATTGTATAATTCCGGACAGCCTAATCAATATATATATAGACTGTATAATTCAATAAAGTTTTAGATGCATAGTTTAACGTTAAGACCATAATCATTTATTTAATGTATATAATGTATATAGTTCACATAATATTGTTATTATACATTCTAACGCTAATAGCAGCTAGGTAAATGTCAATATGTACAGTACATTGTCACGATTAACCCTAGGTGCCGCACAAAAAAATGCGCTCAAAAGTTTGGCCCGCATTACATAATTGTTTACTAATTTCCGGCCGGAATTAACTTTTTGATTTTTTCAATAATGGAATTTTTTAAAAAATAAACCCGCATTATGGTAAATTTGGTCCAGGAACAATTTTTACTTAATGGGCGGCTGCGGTTTCATTAGTAAAATTATGAGTAATTCCGGCCTAATTTTTTGACGTCGCTCTTAGCCAATCAAAGTCGTGGATCTGTCGCGCATTTTTTGTGCTCAATATTTGTCACGCAGATTTAGTGTTTCGATCCTGAATCCGACAATCTGAATTGATCTTTAAATCTAGATAAATTTAAATATCCAGATCAGAGATTTTTATTCGGATTTGTCAAAGAACTTAACTAACGCAGATCAGGAAAATTTAGTGATAGTAAATTGCACTTTCAAACATCTTTTTCAGGGGTTTCCAAAAAAGGAAATTGTATTTGTGCAACAAAGTACATTGCTTCAGCTATACAAGTACTTTTCGATTTTTAAGTTTGAAGTAAAAAAATAATAAACTCGAGAAGAATTATATTTTCAAAGTTGGTTTTGTTTCATTTTTATATAGTACTTGCATTATAGCCTTGCTTTAAAAATTTCTTAAAAGTATAAGTATAAACTAATAAAGCCTACCCCAATATGATTACAAGCTACTAGAACTATTAAAAAAAGTTACAAGACTTGGGTAGTTTCATACTAACAAAATGTAAAATCATTTTGTTATTGCTAATATAAAACTAATATTTATCTATAAAAATCAAACTATTTATTTCTGGAGTTTGTGTTTTAATATACAAATTCACAGTTGCAAAAACAAAGCCTAAGAAGTTATCAAACTTATTAGTTATTTGATACCAAACAAATTTAAAAACAGTTTGTATAAAGCTATTATTATTTTATTTTTATTTTTTTAATCTACAACAGTTTTATTGATACTTGACTTTATTAACAAATTAATACAAGTTAATATTAATTAATTAAACATTTGTTTTTTGTAAATTTAACTCTTCAATTACAAGTCTAGCATCATTTGGCTGTAATAAATATGCCCTTATATGACCTGTTGCACCAACTTTAAAAAAGTTGAAAGACTTTGTCAGCCTGTTAAAAACTAATATCTTCAATTTTTTTTTTT